TCAAACTCAGCATGGTTACAAGACCTAGTTTGAGCACTGTGGTCTCTCTCCTTGTCTCTCTCTTTGTCTCCCTCTTCTCCCCCATATATGCTCTAGCACCAGACACACTATAGCACCTCTAAGTTCCTAAATACCATGCTCTGTCTAGCCCCTGGGCCTTTGTACATGCTACTGCCATTGCCTGGAACACTCTTTCCTCCCTCCAATGCACCATTCAGCTCCCTCCTATACCAGTGGGTCTTAACAGGGAGTAATGATGCCCCCCAGGGGACATGTGGCAATGTCTGGAGACATTTTTGGTTCTTACAACTGGAGAAGGGGCACTCACTGCTTGTGGTAGAAGCCAGGGATGCTGTTAAATATCCTACAATGCATGGGACAGTCACTCACAGCAAAGAATTATGCAAACATCAATAGTGCTGCAGTTGAGAAACCCCACTCTGTTCATATCCTATAGACGTCAACTCAACAGGAAGCCTCTCCTGATGCTCCTGGCTCCAGGCTGGGGGAAGCCCCCTTTCTCTATGTCCCCACAGTCCTTGTGTTTGTCCTTTGGCTTACACTGTAATGGCCTAATATACAAGTGTACCTCCAACCCTAGCATGGGGTTTGGCAGAGGCACAGCTGTAGTCTTGCCATGGAAACAGCAAGGGGGAGAATCTAATGGCAAATAAAACCCAGGCTAGGGGTCCAGCTCCCTTGCCCAATGCTCCTTGGACTCAGAATTTGTGACAACCCTGAGCAATCAGCCCATCCATGCAGACTACACAGACAAGACCCAGGAGCTCAGCACTGGAGCATTGTCCTGGGTTCACAGTCAGGGGCACATCCTGGAGAAAGCCCAGTTTCCTGCCTCCTGCCTCTTTCTGTGGCTCCAGGGTCCAGGGCTCCAGTATGAAGTGACAAAATGACACGGCCATCCCCAGGGCCCACTTAGGATTCTAGCCATCGTGGCCTGAGAGGGTTCAGCTACCTCCCTCCCCTGACCCCCTAGGCCTCACCCCAAGTAGGCAAAAGACAATCTTCTCCAACTTACAAGCTGGATAGGACCCCCTGGAGGACCCTGCAAAAGAAGATGGTGGGTCAGTATTTGAGGGGGACTGGGTGCTGGAGTCCTGGAGGCTGCAGGAGATGGGAGAGGCTCTCAACATGCAAGGACCCACCAAGCTGGTCTCTGCTCTCTGGAAGGCCTGGCTGGCCTCACTGGGGCTAGTCTACACTATTCTAGGAGTCTGGGCAACCAGAAGCATGTGAATCCTGTGAGGTTCAGGGTCAAGGCTTAGTCTGCCTTGGGTCTCATTCACAGGAACCCTGTGTCTGCCCCCAGAAGTCCAAGATGCACCAAACATTCAATTACCTACCGGTGGGCCGGGTTGCCCTCTTGGGCCGGGAGGACCCTGGAGGAAGAAAACAGCAAGGCCCTGGTCAGCAAGGCCCTGGTCAGCAAAGGCCTTCCCTCTCCCCCCACCCCGGACCCTCCTCAAGCAGACCTGAGACCCGGGGACAGTGGTTCCCCTGGTATAGACGTACGGATGGGAGGACGGAGGTCCAGCAGGAAAGAATGTGCCTGAGGACACCCATAGTCATGGGGAGGAGAACCCAGGGTGCCGGCCCCATCCCACTCCCACCCTACAGCCCACACACCCAGCCCACTCACCCTCGGACCTTGCAATCCCTGGAGGGAGACAAAAGCAGGGGACAGAGTTAGGGGACCAGGGCTGAGTCGTGGCCCCACCCCTCTCCAACCCCCTGCAGTGCTACCCCCAGCCCATCCACTCACCCAGTCCCCTCGGCTGCCTTTGTCACCCTTCGGACCCTGCAACAAATCATGCACAGTGAGACCGGGCTCCGAGGGGAAGCCTCATTTTCCAGATGGGGAAATTGAAGCTCAGACTAGCCCTGGGTCACAGAGACAATCTAGAGCCAGAAAGGCAAACAGACCCACGAGTCTTCCTGCCCAGCCCCCTGCACATACCGGGAGTCCAGAAGGTCCCAGGATTCCGAGGGGCCCAATGATCCCTTCCTTTCCCTAAAGGAGAGAGAAAGCCTTGTGTGTCCTTGTTCCAGGTCCTGGGGAATAGGGTCACGGAGACGGGGGTGGAGGGCAGCCTGAGCGTCTCAAGAGAAAGCACGGGAGGTCACCTCGAGCAGGGGCTGGGCCATGCATCCCCTGAGCCCCTCCTGTGTGCCTGGGGATGGGCTCCAAGAGAGGGTCGATGGGAACAGGGTGACAGGAGGAAGGAGGGTGGCCTGGCTGGCAGGAACGGCCTGAGCACAGCTGTGGAAGTGGGAATGAAGACCAGATGGAGAGGGCTCAGGAGTGAAGGGGCAGGAGGAGGAGGACATGTGTCCAACCAGCTGGTGGCTGACCAGCTGTGGGCCTGGGACAACTATGCCCACTGGGACAGATGGGGAGGGGACTCACCATCAAGCCAGGAGGTCCCCGAGGGCCCTGGATGCCTTTGAAGCCGATGTCCCCAGGGGGGCCCTGCGGGAGGCAGAGGAAGGGCTGTCTGTGCCTGGCCAGCCACTGGGTAAAGGCCCTAGCAGCTCCCTCACCCCTGGGGTCTGGCTGACCTTTGCCATCCCATCAAGAGAGGCTTTACCTGGGAGGCCCCAGGGTGCGTAATACATGTCCACAGCCATTTAGCAGGTGCCAGGAGTGTGTCGGCTCAGGGCTGTGTGGTTTATGCCTCTGGCCTTAATTTTTGCTACTGTTATTACTCCCATTTTACAGATGAGGAAAGCAAGGCTTAGAGGGACTGAAGTGACCTGCCAAGAGGAGAGCAGGTAAATTGTGGAGCTGGGCTTGGGACCCAAGTCTGCTGGGATAAGTACTGGGGGGCCGAGGGTGTTCACACTTGATTCCAGCCATGTTCCAGCCCACATTGTAAGTGCTCAATAAATATTTGTTGAATGAATAAATGAATGAATAAGTGGGTGGATGGATGGGACCCTAGGAGAACAGTGAGGAGTCTGTACCTTGGGTCCAAAGAGGCCAGCAATTCCTGGAAAGCCCATCTCGCCAGGG